TCCTCACCCATGTGGGGCAGCCCGTGAGGTGGCCCAGGACGATTCAGCTGGCAGCCCCACATGGTGATTAGCCCTGACCCTTCCAGCTTGTTAAATATTTAAGTCCTGGAGGAAAAGCCATTGACTTTAATTGGGGGTGTTTCAGCAGAGCAAGTGGGGACCTAGGAGGCACAGGGTGAACTGCTCAGTCAGGCAGGTGCACGTCAGCACCCTGAGGAAGCCTCTGCTCCAGCAAAGCACCCCAACATCTTCCCCTGCACCCAACACCATGCTCTGCAACCAGACAACCCCTGCACCCATCCAGAAACCCTGTGGAGACACCAGCATTGGGGAGACCCCAAATCCAAGCCCTGCCTGCAGGACCCTGCAGTGGCAGATGACCCCACATGCCTTTTTGCATTTTTCAGGCTGAGTTCGTCCATCCGTCCATCCATCCATCCCCCACTTTGCTCCTTCATTGCTAGCCCCTGCTGGGGGCCAATTTCCATCCTCATTGACCCCCTCCTTCTTTCTGCCCCCTCTCCCCAGGCCCTGCCACTTCATTACGATGGATTTTATAGTAAAGACATCAGATTGAAGGAAGGACTTGCTGGCCAGGCAGTGGCTATAAGTTATTGGATTTCCCGGCCGCAATTACACGGGCCAAGCGGCCCTTCTATTTACCTGTGTAGACAACTCCATTTATTTCTATTGACATGTTGATACTGCTAATGCCGTTGGTGGACAGGTTCAATGCAGTCTCCTGTCTGTCATCTGGGAAAGGAAATACCAATATGAGCATTGAGAGAAACAGAAACAAGAACCTGCCCGAGAGACAGAAGTGGGCACTCAGCCTCTCCAGGCTCCTCTCGAGCCAGGCTCCTCTCGAGCCATGCTCCTCTCGAGCTGCTACTGCTCCCTCCTGGGGTGCCAAGGGATGGAGTCACCCAAACTGAGGTGTTGCATCTCACTACCTCGGTTGGAGATCTTGACATTCATGGGGAACTGGGAAGCCACGGCCAGGAGGTTGTGCTGCAGTGCGTGTTGCACCAGCCGCTGCTGCTCCTCTGCTGTTAGGGCTGCCTTCTTCTCCGGGGGCTCCCCTGTCTCCAGCTTCTCCCGCAGTTGCTCCAGCACTGCTGCTTGCGAGGCGGCTGCTGCTTGGGCTGCTGCGAGGTGGTGGCTGGCTAGCAATGCGGCCTGGCACTGCTGCCGTCAGCACAGCATCCTCTGCAATGACCGGGAGAGCTCAGCAGGTTCACCCAGCCCCACCTCATCTCACCATCCCCAGCTGGTGCTGCGTGCATCCCAGCACCACGGGGCAGGGCAGGCACCACCAACAGCACCTGGGCTTGGTTGTTCTCCAAAGCCAGGAGAAATAAAGATATCTCAGTTCCAGAGAGGGTCTAAATGAAAAATATTGTTCCTTTTTTCCCCCAAGCAAAAAGGGCAAGAGCAGACAGGGAACATCCCTGCTGCCAGAGTAGTATTAGTAGTCCACCCCTTGGGAGAGATGCCCACTGCAGGTTAGATGTGCTCCTCACCCACCTTTCTTCACGGTGTGTACTTGTGCGAGCTGGCCACAGCTGTGCGTGGTGATGCTAAGAGCTGGCAGAGGCATTCTAGGGGTGCCCAGCAGGGTTGGGGTGCTGGCCGGTGAATAGTTGAAAAGTGCTGTGCCGAAAGTCTGCCTCCGTCCCTCCCGACGGTTGCTGTCGATGGCAGCTTGGAGCTCCCCAGGAGAGCTGAGCGCCCGCTTCTCACATTCGTAGGGATACAGATACTTCATGTATCTGCACAAGGAGAGAGACAAGATGAGATCCAGCATCACCCACCTCCCAACCAACCCAGTTCTGAGCAGGGACCAAGGGAATGGCACCTGGGAAGAAACAGAGCCCTGCATCCCCTTTCAGGACACCCCATGCCAGTCCCCGCTCGGGGCTCTGGGACATGGGTTGCAGTGGGTGCCCCAGGGCAGGAGCCTCCCACCCACCACCACCACCAGGCGCTCACTGCGTGCGGAGGGTGAAGGCAGCGCTGGTGATGGAGGTAGGTAGGTTGAGGCCCTTGGTGATCTCCCGCCAGATCTTCTTGTTGATGACTTCGACCAGGCCGCCCTTGTCCGTCACCAGTCGGTACAGTGTGTACAGGTCCAGCACTTGCTTGGCCATGATAGGGATGCGATTCACAGGTGTCCCTTCCAGCCGCACATGGGAGAGAGAAAAAGGTGTGGAGCGAGCCCATGGGGACCCTCTGTTCCTGAGGAGGGCGGCCCTGTGCCCTGTGAGTGGGAAAGACCTTGGTATGCTGGCACAGGGTCTCCATCGATGGAACTGTTGGTGGGGCTGGGTACATTCTCGTCTCAGCACAGTGGAATGGGCTAAGGGCCCCTTAGAGAGAGCTGTTCCTCCACAACTCTTCGAGTTACCTGTAGAGCATCTCCCCACAAAACCTCTCAGAGCATCCTAGGAGGACTCTCTCTGTAAGCCCTTTTCAGAGCCCCATAAAGAGACACCCCACCCAAACTTTATAAAGGAACTCCCTGTCCATAACCCTTCTGGCGAGTCTCACCATGTAACCTCCCTATAGTGAAGTTTTCTCTCTTCAAAATTCCCCTTCCAGCCTGATACAGAGAGACTCCTTGCCCCAGACTCCCTCTAGCAGCCCCTTGACTGCTTCAGTGCCCCACCTCAGGAGACTGACTCCAAATCCCCTTCAAGTGCCCTCAGTAGAGACCCTCACTCCTGGTCTCCCAGCAGCACCCCTCCAACAAGGCGATGCGGTAAGAGGACATGGGGTCACCAGGGCTCTGTAAGCTATGGACTAGAATGGTCCCCACAACCACAATCCCCTCTCCACTTTCCCAGCATCCCCACTTAGCCCCACAGACATGCTCTGCCCCATGGCACCTTGGGGCAATGGTCCAGGCAGTGGCTGAGGGCTGCAGCAGAGCAGAGGAGAGACAAGCATCCCACCCCATCCCATTTGTTCCTGTCCTACCCCACTCCATATTTATTCCTCCTGCGGGGTGGCAGGGAGCAGGTGATATTGGAAAGCCATCCATTTGGCCTGGGGAGGCTGTCACAGCTGCGCTTTGCCCCTCAAACGAAGCCGTCACTCACCGCCATCCTCCAGCATCCCTAATTTATGGCCCTGATATTGGCTCAGCTTCTTCACATAAGCCTGAAAAATGAGCTCTTTTTATTCCTTTACTGAGTTCATTTAACTTTTTTTTTTGTGTGTGTATGTCGGTGTTGTTTGGGAAGGGGGAGAGGAGTTTATTCTCTTGGGAAAAAGGCAGAGATATTGACTCGATATCTGAAGGCAGTCTCTCACCAGCCCTGCCTGGGGGCTGCTGATGCCGGCCCCATCACCTCAGGGTGGCCCCATTTGAGGGGTCTCCATCACCACAACATGCCAACGAGTTTGCAAGGTCTCAGCTCCTCAAGATGGCCCACAGATTTCTTTTCTCTCCCCCTCTCCCCAGCCATGGCATCCAGCAAAAGTAGCTCACCATTAATCTCTGAACGGGAGGCTGGTGCCCATCCCACTGACAAAGGAACCTGTCTGCGTCCCCGCAGACTGATGGCCCTGGCCCTGGCCAGTGTGAGCTGCACAAAAGCCAAGGGAGGTGATGTGGCCATTGTAGCACTGCAATTAGCTCCTTGATTGATTAATGGCGCCCATGTTATCAGCAGGGCCTTTGGCGTGGCAGAGAGATGAGGGAGGCCCTATGGACCCATGGACAGCAAATGCAGAAAGAGTCCCTCTGTGTCTCGGCTCATCACTTTTCTGATGCTACAGAGGTTGAAGCATGGGGATGAGGTGTCCCACTGCCTGAACCCCATGTCTGATGGGGGTGATAGCATCACTCCCATGTACCACTGAGGCCCAGTGTCCCATGTCATGGGGTCTGCGATGCCCCCCCACAGTGTGGCTGTCCCCAACCCATTTTCAGCCTCTCCAATTTTCCACTGCACTGACAAATGTTGAAATTGCCCTGATAGACAGTGTGTGGGACATGGTCCCTTTCACTAAGGCTCACCTCGTAGGCATCAATCTGCCCCCCAGCTCACTGACACCTTTGGCACACAGCCTGGGGGCCACAGTCCCCTGCATATGCACCCCTGGGTGCCCCAGGGGTGCCCCTGGCTCCCAATGCCCCCACAGATGCTGTCCCTGCCTTGCTGTCCCTCTGACCCCTTTCTCTTTGTTATCCTGCTCCAAAATTCCCCACCCCTCCAAAAGGCACTTGCACACCCAATTGCCCTCCCCGGGGGGATTCCACCCACTTGGAGGAGGAGGTGTGGGATGGAGGGGACAGGAGCAGGGCAGCCAGACACAGAGGGATGAGAAGCAGCATTGGCAGGGAAGCATCAGGCTCCTTCCCTCCTCCCCACACCACCAGGCACTTGCTTAATTAGCCCTGGCCCCAATGGCGAGGGAGTTAATTAGCTCTGGAGAGAGAGATAATGAAGCCGCAGAACAGCCCATGAATCTTGTGGCTGATAGATGCTGGGGGGCTGAGGCAGTGCTGATGCTCCTGCTTACTTCCCACAGACCCACACCATGGCCACAAGGACTGGAGGAGACCCACTGGGTGGTCACCAACTGTCCCTGCTACCTCCCACCTCTAGCTGGGCCTCAGCATGGGCCCCATGCAGTCCCCTGCAGCACAGCCCTGAGTGAAATGAGTTTGTGGGGTCTCAGCCTGACCCAAAAGTCAACCGCTGCTGTCCCACAGGCAGGTGGGTACCCTCACCACCA